AACTCCGTATATATAGGCAAAATATAAAAATCATAGTAAGGGTAAAAAAGGGAAAAGAAATCCTAATAAACCTAGACTATCTATACTCCAACACTCCCCCTCAAGCTAGGCGCAAAAATGTCAACTAAGCCAAGCTTGACAACGGAGTCCCGAAGAATAGACAGAGTGACAGGTTTGGTAAAAACATCCGCAACTTGATCACTGGTCCCCACAAACGATGGAGTAACAAGACCACTGCTGACCTTCTCCCGAAGAAAGTGAACATCGATCTCTATATGCTTCGTTCTTTCATGTAGTACAGAATCAGAAGCGAGCTGAATAGCAGATTGATTATCACAATATAATGTGGATGGAGAGGTCACTGAAAAACCCAACTCGTCAAGAATCGATCGTAGCCAGATAATCTCACATGTGCTAAGTGCCAATACCCGATACTCTGCCTCTGCGGACGAGCGGGAGACAACTGCCTGCTTCTTGCTCTTCCAAGAGATAAGATGAGTCCCTCGAAAATCACAAAAATCCGTAGTAGATCGACCATCACATGCTCCCCCATAATCTGAATCTGAATAACAGGCTAGAGAACCGGTCTGAGATCCTGATGCATAAAACAACCCAAGTCCAGGACAAGACTTGAGGTACCGAAGAATATGATAAACTGCATCAAGATGAGGCTGACATGACCTATGCATGAACTGACTAACTCAGCTGACTGTGAATGAAATGTCCGGCCTAGAATTGGCTAAGTAGATAAGTCTACCTACCAATCTTTGATAAACTGTCGGATCTTTCAACTCTTCACCTTCAGCAGTAAGCTTCAAGTTTGGAATCATAGGTGATAATGCCGGTTTGCACCCCAACATCCCAGTGTCTGAAAGAAGATCCAAAACATACTTTCTCTGAAAAAGAACAATACCTCTGCTTCTACGGGCAACCTCAATCCCAAGAAAGTATCGCAGAAATCCAAGATCCTTCACATCGAAGGCCTTCCCAAGGTCTATCTTGACCTGCGCAGTCCCAGAAACATCATCACCAGTAATAATAATATCATCAACATATACCAGAAGGATGACACACTGTCCAGAAGTATTCCGTCGAATAAAGCAGGTATGATCAGAATGACACCTGGTGAACCCCAATCGTATGACTACATCACTGAAGCGAGAGAACCAGGCTCGTGGCGACTGTTTCAGTCCATAAAGAGACTTACGCAGTCGACATACCTTTCCAGCATACTCCCCCTCACCACGAAAGCCCGGTGGTGCATCCATATAAATAATCTCGTCCAGATCACCGTGAAGAAACGCATTCTTCACATCTAATTGATGAAGAGGCCAAGAGTACTCCGCAGCCAGAGAAATAATTAACCGAACAGTAGTCAATTTTGCCACGGGGGCAAATGTAGCACCAAAATCACGACCTGGTACCTGAGTAAAGCCCTTCGCCACAAGTCTAGCCTTGTAACGATCAATAGTACCATCCGCAAGAAACTTCAGGGTGTAAACCCAGCGACAGCCAACAGGCTTCACCCCTGAAGGTAAGGAGACAAGATCCCATGTATGATTACGCTGAAGAGCGTCCATCTCTGTCTGCATGGCAAGAACCCACTGGGGCTCCCGCATAGCTTCCGAAATAGAGCGAGGAACCAGCGTATCTGATAAGGCCATAGTATAAGCTCGAAATGTGGGAGACAGATTACCATAAGAAACATAAGCAGAGATCGGATATAAAATCTTGGCGGTCCAACCATATCGATCAACTGGACGGCGATCACGCCTTGGATAACGACGCCCTAAATCACCATCCTCTACTGATAATATCTTATCAGGTAAAGTAACTGGCTCAGCACCTGTAATCTCATCAGTACTAACAACAGGTGCATCAATATGCTCAACAAACTGAGAAGTATTACCTGCATCGCCTGAGGTAGAGGGGATATCAGCAGGGTGATGAGAGCGAGGACAACGAGCATACACCTGCAAAGGAAGAGAGACTGGTAACTCTGTACTGACAGGGATGAGTGACTCCTTTGGAGGAAAAACGGATGACCCTGTAGGGATAGTGATCAATGACTCTGACTCTTGTGGTAATGGAAAATCAAAGGGAGTATCATCAACTGGAGGGGCAGACAAAGGACTGAAAGGAAAATAAGGAATATGCTCAAGAAAGGTAACATCTAGACTGTGATACATACGACGCCTAATAGGATCATAACATCGATACCCCTTAGATTGATGACAATAGCCCACAAAGATACAACGAATCGCTTTATCATCAAGTTTATGACGAGTAGGAGACCGATCCTGAACAAAACATGTGCATCCAAAAACACGAGGGGGACCGGAAAAAGTGTCCGCTCAGGAAATAAGACCTGTAAGGGAGCCTTATGCTGAAGAACACGACTCGGCGTACGATTGCACAGAAAGGTAGAAGTCAAAACAGCAAAATGCCAATAAGATTTTGGTACCCTCATGCCTCTAAGCAGACAACGTACCATCCCTATCAAACTCCTATTTTTCCTCTCAGCAACACCATTTTGCTCAGGAGTATATGGACAAGTGAGTTGCTGAAGGATACCCTGAGAAGAAAGGTGAGACACTAAAGCATCAGACACATATTCTTTGGCATTATCCGAACGAAGAGCACGAACAATGACATCGAATTGTGTCTTAATCATCTGTAAAAACTGAGTGATTATAGGGAGCACATCAGACTTCCTATGCAAAAGGTAGACCCAAGTACAACGGGTATGATCATCTATAAATGTCACATAATATCTGGCACCTGACAGAGCAGTAACGGGAGAGGGTCCCCAAATATCAGAGTGTATTAGGTCAAATGGCTTGGGTGACTGGTGCATGCGAGGAATATAATTGGCCCTAACATGTTTTGATAGGGAACAGATAACGCAATCAAGTTTACCACCAACACAAGCATTACTCAAAGCAGGAAACAACATACATAAATATTTAAAATTTGTATGTCCAAAACGGTCATGCCACAATTGAACAGTTTGTGACGAAAAATCATAACGACAACTACTAGGTAAAATACTAGCATGCAAGCTAGGAACAGAAAAAGACAAAGCAGGTGCAGGTGAAGGAATTGGTGAAACTGGAGATGGATTGCCAAGATAATACAGTCCATCTTTCTCATGTCCCTTGATAATAATCCTCCTGGTACTCAGGTCCTGCAAATAACACGAATCAGATAAGAATACAACCGCACAGTGAAAATCTCTGGCTAACTGATGTACAGATAATAGATTCATGGCCAACTTTGGCGCATGAAAAACCGAATGTAATGTAAGGCCATCTGGGAGACGGACTGTACCCCTACTAACAATAGGGGCATGTGTTCCATCTGCTAACTGAACCTGTGTATGTAACGGCTCGTCAAAAGTGGTGAAGTGATGGGCCTCACCTGTCATGTGACCATTCGCACCCGAGTCCAACATCCAAAGGGGAGATGAACTGGCACAAGCGTGAAAGGCACGAGATATACCTGTAGTGGTGACAGCAGCAGTAGTCAGACTCTGAGAAGTCAGAGCAGACATAAGTATATCTAATCGGGAAGTGATAGCATCCATATCACTTTGCCAAGGAGGAGCAGTAGCAGGAGTGGCGGTAGTGGGCGGTGGTACCTCAGCAATAGCAACAGTACGGCTGCGAGAAGGTGGCTTAAGCTCTGGATGGAGCTTCCAGCAAGTAGCCCTGAGATGTCCTGGTCGGCCACAATAATCACATTGACGGGAATCCCCCCGTCTGCGCTGATCTGGGGCGCCCTGACGGCGCTGGTCTGAGCGTTGCCTATCCCTGACTAAGGATCCTGAACGGGACCCTACAGCAGCTGCAAGGGCCATCTGGTCAATCGAAGGAGGCAAAGCTGCAACTGGAAGTGATGCAATACGGACTCGACGCTCATGCTGCTCAATCATCCCATACACCTCATAAAGAGAAGGAAGTGTCAACATCGACAAGATCTGAGAACGAGGTCCCTCAAACTCATCACGAAGCCCCATAAGGAACTTGTGAATCCTATCCTCCTGCTCTCGAGTATGCAAGAATGCTGCTCCCTCGGGCTCTATCTTCGGAATAGCAGCAAGAGGACGTAGAGACTCATACTCAAGCCAGCGCTGGGTCAAATAGCCATAATAATCCTGAACGGTCATATCTCCCTGCCGAGCATATGAGAGCTCTTGAGAAAGCTCATAAACACGAACTCCCCGTCCTGACTGAGAATACATCTCTGATAATGCGCTCCATAGCTTCGGAACAGAGCTATGAAACTGGTGGATCCTGCAAACAGAGGGCTCCATTGAGCCAAATAACCATCCAAGAATGGCACAGTTTTCAGAGAACCATGCAGAATATCCAGGGTCGGCATCAGCTGGCTTTGGGTGAGATCCCGTCAGCCAACCAAGCTTCCCTACACGGCCTAAGAAAAGCTGGAATGAGCGTGACCACTCAGCGAAGTTACGACCATTCAACAATTGTGCCGTAACTTTTTGAGAGATCATGCCCGGTAATGCTGGTAATGCAACTGTGCTAGTAGGCACTGTATACTGGTCAAACATAAAAGTGGAAGTACCCATAGATGTCTCAACGGTAGAGGTGTCAACAGTAGGGTTCTCAAGTCCCTCAGTAGTAGCCATATCAACAACAATACTAGGGCACCCGTGACAGAAAAATAACTCTAAGATAAATAGAGGAATAAAATAAGGGAGAACAATATACCTTCAGTCGAACAGTAGCGACAAATAGGGAAGGTCCAAAAAGCTCCCAAATAATCAAGTCACGGTGCCCAGAAATCCAAAATATATAAATAAGTGATCTACTGCATCAAGGGCAGATCAACAGAAAAGAGGATCCGCTCCCAAAAAAGTCCTAGAATAAAATCACAATGAAAGTTGTGACCCAGCAGTGGGCTGGACAATGATCTAGAAGTAGGAGTGGTTTTATTGGGTTTATTGGGTTGGATCTATTATTATTATTATATGGAGAATGGTAAAGGGCGCGGAACATGATATATATATGGCCAGTCGGTTGGACAGTGGGCTATTTAGCATATGGTTATTGGCTGGTTGTTTGTTTGCTGTCGGTGGTGGGTATTTGCTGTCGCTGGGATTTGTCAGTGCAGGTGGGATTTGTGTGGGTATTCGATTTTGCAGGTGAGGATCGGTATGGACTGGTTAAACTGGTTGCAGCTTCCAAGATTGCTCTGCTTGCAGTAGTCACTACGATTTTCACTCTCATCAGCTGTTCTCTTGCCGCTGAGGCTCCGGCGCCTGCTCCTGCTTCTTCCGCCGGAGAATCTCTCCGTCTTTCGTCACCGGATGCGCTGTCGCTGTTGTTGCTTTCCTTTTCGGATCTGCACTCAAGATCTGAAGGTCTCACCGTTCTATGAGGCTGTTTCTACTGGTTTACTCTTGTGTTCGTGATCGTGCGATGATCGTGGGATTGAGGTTGTTTGTTGCAGGTTGTGGTGGACTGGTATGGACTGGTTTTGGGATGCGGCTGTCGGCGGAAGACTGTTTGTTGCCTAGGCCGTCGGTGTATGGACTTTGGGGCTGTCGGTGTGGCCTGGTATGGGCAGTAGGTGGACTGGTTTTGTCGCTGGTTTGGTCGGTTTCGCTGGGCAGCTGATGGCCAGGGTGGTTTCGGCGGTGGCTGGTTCGGTGGAGGCTAAGGTTGGGGAGAAGGTTAGGGTTTGGGGTAGGGTTAGTGTATGGCTCTGATACCAACTTGAAATAATGTGAGTAAAAGGAGATACTCAATTAAGAGTAAAACTCCGTATATATAGGCAAAATATAAAAATCATAGTAAGGGTAAAAAAGGGAAAAGAAATCCTAATAAACCTAGACTATCTATACTCCAACAAGTAATAAAACCTGAATTCTCCAATTCGCAACGGGTAGGTTTGGTTGATTTTGCTATAAATGTAGTGCATAGCGAAGATTCGAGATTGAAACAAAAAGAGGGGAAGTTGGTGAGGAGAGGAGTGGATGGGAAATATCCATTGGTGATGATGAGCGTGGATTTGTTGTAACTGTCTGAGGTATATGGAATTGTTGTGTGACTTTGTGGATGTTATATAGTCCACAAATGATTCAAGAGTTCTAGGAATTGAGTACATCAAACACTTCTGAGTCTTGATATCAAATTTTTTTTTAAGGGGTAAGTAGGAGGATATGAAAGAGTGTGGATTTCTCTACTATGATGTTCACTCATCAAACATGTTTTTCTAATTGCTCATGACAAATCCTTGAAGGTAGACCTTGTTTGAGACATGACCATGAACAAATTTTAGTCCAAAATTCTTAAACAGTTGCACGATTTGTAGGATCTACATCTACTTTAATATACACTAGCTAGCGCCCATGCCCGAAAACACCGTATAACCAAAAAAAAAAAAAAGTCTAGAGAGAGAGAGAGAGATGTATATTTAAAGTATCCAATACTCATAAGATTCAACAAAAACAAATGCAATGCTGCCAAATTCCTGGCTCAAAAATCCAATGAAACTATAGACTAAACATTGAACCAACACACATTCTGCAAACCAAGAAATTGAGTTCGGAACATCTGAGTGCCATTAAAAACTAAACCAAATTTCCATATAAAAATAGACATACTTATAGAACATATTACACACATACATGGACAAAGGGGGAAAGAAATGCTACCAAGACAGGGTGATGTGTGTGAGTTCCCTGCAAATAGCATCTCTACATCCATTACAAACCCCACAAGCCACTGAGTGCTAAGAATTAAGCTTTTCCTTTGAATAGTCAAAAATACAAAAGTTTCAGAATTCATTCGAGCACAACCAGAAAATTAATTCCCTTAGATTCACCAAAATAAATAATCATGAGGACGTATGAAAAAAAAATAAGCAATTCACTACCCGTTAGAAAAAAGCATAAACCTGGTGCTCTTGAATTTTAGCGCTAGTAGACCATGAAAAAAAATAAAAGTTTCTGTATTCATTTTAATGAAAAGTTCAGTATTACCATTTCCAATCCTCATGGCCAAATCGAAATCTGCAAGCTTCATCTTCTCAAAAGTGATAGGAAGAATATTCTCAAGCTTTATATCCCTAGGTAAAACCCCACATCATGACAATACTTAATCACCAACATCAATTCCTTAGCCGATACTCAGAATACTACCCCTCCTTGGCTATTTGATCAATCAGCCTCTTCTCGACAACAACTGGAATACTTGCATACATGTTCATGATAGCTAATGTTAGGATTGAGTAATGATCATTGGCAGCCTGCATACTCTGCCAATTCAACATTGCTTCGCAAGCATTATTGCCAAGATGGTAAACACAATAACTTCATGCACTTTTCTAGCTTTGCAAATCTCAATTACACTTCCTTTTTTGGAAGCAAATAAGATATCACTCTTAGTACACTAATTGGAGTTGTGAAACTAATTGGGGTTTGGGGTTGCCTCGACCAAGCCAAGATGCACTAATCATGGATTGGTAGTACAATATTGCACTACTTCATTGGAGATTTCGATTTTCTTTAATCCACAATGACCAAAAAACTAAGCTCACCATACACACACACACAGACTAATCTCGCATCTTGCCTCAGCAACATAACAAACAACAAACAATCAGCAAGGGAAGAGCAAGAAGAACAACAATATATGCAGTACATTTCACTTAAAAAAAATATCGAGTCACGAAGTACACACGCAGCTCCTAAAGCTCAAGCACTAAAAATGGAGTTACCTGATCTGTACCCCCGAGTTCCAAATCCTATTTTAATTTCAAAACCAAAAAACTTACGACAACAGAAAAATATGTGCACAACCGCATACATTTCTGGCAGACAAAAAATAAAAATACTCCACACGCTGGTCTAGTAAAGTCCACAGCGGATCATCTGTAAAACAAAAAATTCAAAAATTATAGCGAAAAAAACTGAATGAAGCTGAAATTAAGTCAAATTAAAGAAGAGAATGGACAAAACCGCAGCCACTGGCAAGGAAATCATTGAACACGATATACTTTCTTTTTCATGTATGCGTGTTGAAGACAGAGAGAGTGGGAGAAAGGGGGGACCTGGGCTGTGTGGCCGTCGACGGTAGGTTGGCCGGTGGTGGGCTTAGCCATGGCAAGGAACAGATGGTGTGGAGCATAGTTATCGGGATAGTTCATGCGATTCGTATGGTACGATATATTTTTACGATATATCGATTTTGTACGATACCGTTCGATATATGATATATTTTTAAGATACGTATTGATATGATATGCACAATATGCATTGTGGTCGCTGTTTTTTTTTTTTTTTTTTGACTGTAATGATGTCGTTTTTTTTTTTTTAAAGTGAATTTTTTTATTTCTATAACCACTTAAACAACGTTGTTTCGATGGCTAAAATTTATAAAAAGAAAAAAAAAATTCTCTTCTTCGTTCTCTTGTCTCTATTTTTCACGACAACAAAACACAAACACCCTCCACTCTCTCTCTCCTCTTTGTCATGACGACAAACCCAACCCTTTTCTTTCTTTTCTCAATTCTTCACGACAATGAAGCCCATTGTCTATAAACCCTTTGTTTTTCACGATGACTACCACACTCTATTTCTTCTCTCTGTTCTTTATCGATGAAGCCCTTTGTTCCTCTCTCGATGAAACCCATTCTCTCTCTTCTCTTTGTTCTTCATCGACGAAGTCAGTGAAACTTGCGAAGCTATCAAAGTAGCAGCCAGCCAAGCAATCAAAGCCTCTGAAAATCTAGATCTACAGTTGCAGCTGCCTTCTTCTTCCTTCTCCGAGAAAAACCTATGTAAGAAATGCTATTAATTTACAAAGTTAAATATTTTTTATTTTTTTTGTATCAAATTTTTGGAATCTTGATTAATGTAAAGAGTTAATTATAAATTGTACCCTGAAAGATCGTTCAAATCTCAATTTACACCCTTAAAAATTAAAAATCTCAATTTGTACCATCAAAAATAGAAATTTGTATCAATGTGCATCCCCAAAGATCAAAAATATCAATTTGCACCTTCAAAGATAAAATTTTGTATCAATGTGCACTCCCAAAGATCAAAAATCTCAATTTGCACCCTCAAAGATAAAATTTTGTATTAATGTGCACCTAAAATTAGATTGATAAATTATACCTAAATCCCTTTATACTTGTCACTTAATCATTTGGACTCCTTCACAGATAAAATATTACTCCTACATCTCATGACGTTTGTGCACGTGTAACATGTAACCCTTTTTCGTTAATATCTGTTAATATAACCGTTAAAAATATATGATTTTATCATAATAAAAAATTATAATTTTATATTATCCTTTATTTTATGAGTCTAATATACTCTGAAGTTCAAAATCAAGTTTATCATTTGAATGTCTAATAGAATAAAAGGTTGCACATTGAGTGATATATTGCATTGAATATAAAAAATATTATATAAATATCTACATTCTATTAGACATTCAAATGATAAGTTTGATTTTGAACTTTAGAGTATATCAGACTCACAAAATAAAGAGTAATATGAAATTATAATTTTTTATTAAGATAAAATCATATTTTTTTAACGATTATATTAACATATATCAACGAAAATATGTTATGTATTACACGTGTACAAATGTCATGAGACGGAGTAATATTCAAAATGTGAAGAGGTCCAAATGATTAAGTGACAAACATGAGGGATCTAGGTATAATTTATTAATTTAGTTTTAAGTGCACATTGATACAAATTTTTATCTTTGAGGGTGAAAATTGAAATTTTTATATTTGGGGGTATACATTGATACAAATTTTTATCTTTTAGGGTGCAAATTGAGATTTTTGATCTTTAGGGATACACATTGATACAAATTTCTATCTTGAGGGTGCAAATTGAGACTTTTGATCTTTGAGAGTCTAAATTGAGATTCGAACTATCTTTCGGGGTACAACTTACAATTAACCCTAATGTAAAATTGTTAATTTTTTGAAGCAATTAATGTTAGTGAAAACTTTACATTTTAATATTAGTGAATTATGTTGGTGACTTGAATAATTAGTAAAATATTAATACTTTATTTTTACGAGTTGAATTTTTTTTTCAAAGGTATATATATTTTATTATTATTTATTTAAAATTATGTTGTATCATACAATACACAATATACGATACGTGATATGATATAATACACTATTTTTGAAAAATGATTTATCTTCCGATATACGATTTGATAATGATGAAAGAGAGACCCGAGAGGTGCTGAAACGGTGCCGTTCCCGTGCTACCTCTTATTTGTGGGTCCATGACATGAAACGGTGCCGTTCTCATTAACAACTGCAGGGTAACCACACCCAGATTTCTCATATCCGTGAAAAGATGGTAAAGCTCAATCGTGCGGTGGATAACGAAGAGAATATTCCGGATCTGGCTCATTGGACGATACCTCACGACTTTTACTATAGTCCCGCCCACTCCTAAAAATCCCAAGAACATAAGCGGGCAGAGCCAACCAACCTTTTGAGTCTCTCTCTCGCTCGCGTTTTTGGTGGAATCTGGAAGAGCAGACACCAGGTGGAGATTCATCGTTCTTTCTCTCAGCTCAGAAAAGGTGATCTGAATTTCTTCTCCGATGATCCCTTTGTTGCTTGAATTTATCATTGAATTTGTGCTCGATCTGCTTTTCGTATGTTTTTTGATATTGTAAGAAATTGCTTGATCTTATAAATGTATAATTCAAGTATATGCTTAATTGGGCGCTTAGACATAGATTTTGCGGCTGCGGAGATATTCTTTACCATCATGTTCGAGTGCATGTACGGAAATTGAACGATCGCCTCGTCTGTCTGCTGGTGATCCGTATTATACAAAGAAATTTATCGTCGTTTTTTCATGTCGTCGTGTAGTGTTGATGTCTGTGAAATTTTTTTCCCTGAATTCTTGAATTGGCTCTCTGGACTTCAGAAATTTCTTATTTTTCGTTAATTTCTGTAAAGGTGCTTACGTTCATTTGAGCATATGTAGCCCCAATTGGCTTGGTGTCAAGTAATTGGAAAATTGTTTGCTTTTCAATTACTATGTAACTGGAAAATACTTTGTTTTCTTTAATATTTGTTTGTTCTGTAAGTTCTTTTTTAGGTAAATTTTGAAACGTGTTTAGGTAAATCAAATCATAGACAAATTTAAAGAATGAAAATTTTCTAATAAACATTTTTGGTTCGAGTGGTTCTGTCATCTGCACAAACAGCTGTATTGAAGAGCAAACCAGGAAGGGAAAAAAATGAGACTTCCTACCTGTACTCAATGTCAAGAGTCAAGACCACCATGATTTTTCGTAATGCAGATTTGTAGTGCATAAACATGGTAACACCCCCTTCTCCCTTCATTTTTTAATAGGTAAAATAATCTCTACTACACTTTCATGTCCTGATTAATGGTTGTCACAAATGGATCAAAGAGGACATTGGATAAAATTGTTTGAGCAACTCTGTTGTGGTTTTTTTTAAGTGTATCTGCACTCGTGTTGAGAGATGATTCTTTCCATTATTATATAACTATATGCTTTTGTAATTTTCACTGTTTAGAAACTACTGAAAAATGATAATTGTGCAAAGATCTCTGTGTCATCAATCATTATTCTTATACTTTTGCCACTTCCTTTTACTTGAATCATCATGCTTAATGATTTTCTGTCCATTTCTTTTTCGCTGGTTAAGCATAAACATACTCCCTTTATCTTTTGAAGAACAAAGCCAGGGAATGCTGAAAGATGTATGTGAGTGTTCAGAAACCCTTCTCTGAAGCAGTTGAGGATTTGGCCTTACCAGAGCTGCCTTTCTTCATCCTTCATACTTGGCATATGAATTACAGTTCATTTTCTTCCCATGTCCAAATGGACAACAGTCCTACATGTTGTAAAATGCCGGTTATGTCAATGAACAACCTGTGTGAAGACGGTTGACTTGCTTTGCTCCTCAATACTCCTGCACTGTAGATTATATTTGTCGAATTAGCAGGAGCGAGTATAGTGTTATACATATTGGGATTTTTAGCATTGAAATGGATAACAAAGGGAGTGTGTTGATGGAAAGATATGAGTTGGGGAGATTACTAGGCCAAGGGACGTTTGCAAAGGTCTACTATGCAAGAAGTCTCAAAACTGGGCAGAGTGTGGCCATTAAAGTAGTAGACAAGGAAAAGGTTTTGAGAGTTGGACTCGTGGATCAGATCAAGCGAGAAATATCTGTCATGAGACTTGTCAGACACCCTAATATAGTGCAACTTTTTGAAGTCATGGCCACCAAAGCCAAGATCTATTTTGTCATGGAATATGCTAAAGGCGGTGAGCTCTTTGATAAGGTGGCTAAAGGAAAGCTAAAGGAGGATGTTGCTCGAAAATATTTTCAGCAGCTGATCAACGCTGTTGATTTCTGCCACAGCAGGGGTGTCTATCACCGGGATTTGAAGCCAGAAAACTTGCTATTAGATGAGAATGAGAATCTGAAGGTTTCCGATTTTGGGTTAAGTGCCTTTGCTGAATCAAAGCGCCAAGATGGGCTGCTTCACACAACTTGTGGGACCCCTGCATATGTTGCTCCTGAAGTGATTAACAGGAAAGGCTATGATGGAGTCAAAGCTGATATTTGGTCATGTGGGGTAATACTATTTGTTCTATTGGCTGGTTATCTTCCATTCCATGATTCAAATTTAATGGAGATGTATAGGAAGATAGGCAAAGCAGAGTATAAATGTCCCAATTGGTTTCCACCTGAAGTACGCAGGCTACTGTTGAGAATATTGGATCCAAATCCAACAACTAGAATCTCGATCTCAAAAATTAAGGAGAATTCTTGGTTCAAAAGGGGATTGAACTCTAAACCAATAAAAACTGATACAGTGAACAAAGAAATGGCTTCTTCAAATGCAGATGCAGCTTCTAGTTCCTGTGGAAATAGTGCTGTGGCTGCTCAAGATAAACAAGAGTTAGTGAGGCTTTCAAACTTAAATGCGTTTGACATCATCTCCCTGTCTGCTGGCTTTGATCTATCTGGACTGTTTGAAGAACCTTGTCTGAAAAAAGAAGCAAGATTCACATCCTGGCAACCTGCCTCAGTTATCATCTCTAAACTAGAAGAAGTTGCTAAACGTCTGAGACTAAAGATGGGGAAAAAGGATGGAGGGCTGCTAAAGTTCGAGGGAACAAAGGAAGGTAGGAAAGGAATCTTGTCAATTGACGCAGAGATCTTTGAGTTCACTCCCTCCTTTCATCTGGTGGAGCTCAAGCAATCTAGGGGAGATACATTGGAATATCAGGAGCTGATGAAAGAGGGTATAAGACCTGGTCTTCAAGATATTGTTTGGGTTTGGCAAGGTGAGCAACACCCAGAGCAACCACCACAAGAACAGCATCAGCAACAACTATCAGAGCAACCACCACAAGAACAGCATCAGCAACAACTATCACAGGACGAGTCACAACAACTATGACCACAGAAGCAACCAACAATTACATAAACACCTGATGCAGCAGGAGCAGTGACCTTCATTGCCAAAGATGGCAAATTCTTCAAGTTTGTCTATTCTATACATTTTCCTAATCTTCCTTTCTTGTGAATAGTTATGATTGTCTTTATTTGTATCATTTCTCAATCAAATAAGCTTGTCCTAATTTTGGCCTGTGTGGTTGATAGCTTCCCTTTTTTTTTCTTCCTCATATTGCCATTCTGTAGTACAATTTTTGTGGCTGGTTTGCAACCTGCCTACTTATTAGGGTACACAATATATCTTATAGACGTGCATGAAAATTGTGGATACGATTTACAACACGACAACCCGTAATCCACATATTGCCATAGGTCATCAGTTCATAAATCCATTGGGTAGACCACCTCTGCCTGCCAACTGCTGCTCCTGCGAGTGCAAATCGCTAACAACAGAGAATGTTTTTCCTTAATGACAACATTTTATTCCAAAACGAGACATAAGTGTTGTCCTGCTTTTTGCATTAATTTTATTTATGTGCCAGATATTACACAACTAAACAAAAATGGGTGACTTCGTCAAGTCAATGATCTCGGGACAAATAGTAGAGAATCTTCTCTTCTTGCTGCCTGAACTAGTATTGTAACAAGGCGAGGGAGTGAACAGATCTATAACCTCAGCTTCACATGAGGTAGTAGACCTCTTGATTGCATGTTGATCTTTTTCAGCAGCTATTGTGGTAGTTAAAGGAATGGGGGATGGCGAATCCAACTCAAAACTACTCTCTTCAATCAATCTGAACATATCCCCATCTTCAACAGTGGCTGTCGTGCTATGAGGCCTGGCAAGAGACGATGAAAATGCTCTCACAGGGGAATAACTATGGCAAAACAGCTTCCTAAGACTTGCGCTTCTACAGGATGAGTCCCTTGCCTGTCTCTCGCCAAATTCTTCTGCCCCTCCAAACTGTTCACCAGTATTTTCTTCAATCCATCCCATTTGTTCACGAGTATTTTCTTCAATCCATCCCATTTGTTCATGAGTATTTTCTTCAATGCTATTATGATTATCTGCTGAACTATGATTTGTTTCATGTGATGATCCTTCTGCTATGTATCCCTGGAATCCACTAGTTCCATCACATTCTCCATCATCATCCAACTCACCATTTTCATGATCATTTGACTCACTTCCTCTGTAACAGGGAAGCTCATCCATGGAACAAACTTGGACCTTCATGTGCTTCGGTAAACTTGGACAACCAGCTGTATGCTTTTGGTATTTCGTGGTAAAGAAATTAAATGTGAGCTTCAAGCTGATCACATGTAGCAAAAATGTAAGCAACTTTACAAAAAAACTATTTGAGTCAAAAGAATATCCTCTTCATTCACAGGCATGAGAAACAAATGTCATCATACCTCTGCCAGGCAGGAAGGGTAAGCATTGTGTATGCCAATTTAATCTTATTGGTAAGTCCTGAAAGGGACTTAAAAGTTGCTGCTGCCTTTCTTACTGCCAGAGATTCTACTGGGTGCTGCCAGGCCCACTCAAACTGCAAGTTGCAATTGAGCATTCAGTACTGTTAATACCAAGCTATTTGGTCCATAATATTGAATCCCAACTAAGCAAATCACAGTAATAGGATGGAGCTTTGTCAAGCTAGTATTATACCATAAGAGATGAGTTCAATTACAAATAAACTTGTGCAGTGTAATAAGCATTTTGTATTCTTATAGTACCAATTCTATATGTAATGGGTCATGTCTAGTTTCTTAGTCATGGTCTGTCAAAATATATTCAATCCATAATCGCCTCATTTATACGTGGCCAAGTTTGACTCGTGCTTAGCCAAATTTGTGCGGGCTCGTTTAATACATATTTGTGTTGGCCCATTTACTATACAATTCCGATCAATCCCATTCAAATTAAACTCATACCCACTAATTTTGTGTATGAATTGAGGGGTTGTGTTAACAATCGCTAGCTTACTGATAAACACTTGGTCATGCACATGGTGTCAATGCTTTATTTCATATCAATGGCTACAGTTCATGGATAACAAGCACTGATACACCCAGGAAAGAGGGTTCCAAAAAAACAAGGGCTGGCAACAAGTCGAAACTGACTAGTTCCAATGATGGCTGATTATAAGGAACTTAAAAGAAAATAATGTACCTGAAGAGCGGCTACATGGGTGGGGAAGCCATATATGCACAATACCATTTCCCAAGGGCGCTTATTCTTGGTCCTCCCGGCACCGGACCTGATTTCCCCATTATGCTGCCTAATTCTTCGGCGTGGATTCACTGTGAATCTACAATTTTGGGACAAAGAAGATCCAAAAAATTCATTAAATTACCGAATCGGTAAGAGCAATCAGGGAAAAAAAAAACCAATTCTGATGCCAATTAGAGCACAAAACAGTCCAATTAGTGAACAAGAACGCTGGAAACAGACTTTTTTTTTCATCCTCCATGAAGCAGGAACCCTAAATAAAATGGGTAAACATGACGGGAAAGAAAAGCCCTCAAAACCCTAATCTCATATAAAGAAATAAGCCAGACGAATATGACCATGATCAGAGGTGAAGTGGCTGAAATTGAAGAAGCTCTAATTTCGAAAAAAACAGAAATTAGAAAGAAGAGAGATGAATTAAGGATATTTTTGTGACGAACCCGATGTAAGTGGAGCGTGTGTGCCTGGGGCTTAGAGAGGTCAGCAGATAGCATGAGAAGAACCTTCCTCCCTTCTCTTTCTCTCCTCCAACTTCTTCTACTTCTCCGACTCTTTCCTCATCTTTCTGCCCTCCTCTACGAATTATGGTTTCTAGGTTCTCCGTTCCTTTTCTTCTTCCCATCTCTCTCTCTCTCTATCTGATTCCTCTCTTCATCATAAAATTTGACCGTTACGATATTATGAATGTCTCTATTTACAATAGGGTGAGTTACACTTTATATCCCAAAAGATATTATAACTTTTAATAATAGTCGTATGTGGACTATTTCGAGCATCAAATATTATTTATTAAATTTGAGAGGAAAGAAATTTATTCTAAATGATTTTGAGAGTGATAATAATGGTCATTAGATGAACTAATTTGAAATATTGGATTTGTTTGTTGAAATCGTTCTGTTTTATATTATAGATTTGACACAAATAAAAATTAATATTTTATAATTTTTAATCTCTTTACAAACTCTATATTTTACTAATTTTTGATTATATATTTCATAATTTTTAAACTAAAGGAAGTTCCCACAAATCATACCAATACTCTAATGAATCAATTTTAATTTGTTAATTTTAAGAGATTTGGTATGTACTTCTTTTTTTGTTTTTTTTCCTAGTACCTAACTTGTTTGACTCAATTAATTTTTTTTATAAATCATTACTATGGGCCCAATTAAAAATATATATAAAACATATATAACTAAAAAAAAAAATTTGAGGTGTGCCCTAGGCCCCTCTTCCACCCGCCACTGCCAGAAAAGAGAAAGAGAGTGGAGATTGGAGAGTGAGAAGAGGAAGGTAAAATTCAATCTAAATAGTTTTGACAGAGATGTTGTTGGCTATTGGATGAATTTATTGAGACCGTCAGATGAATTTATTAAAATCTTTCACATTTTATATTATAGATAAATCCATAAAATATAAAAGAACTGACTTAAAAAAACATTAATTTATATACATGTAAGCAAAATCGAGTCAAATCTAATATAAGCTAAAATCTAATTTAACAAAAAACATATCGCCAAAAAAGTTCTACAAATATTATTTATAA